AAAAGATCAAAATTCAAAGTATGGTTTCTACTGAATGCGTATAGCTGTCACACCATCAGAGAATTGTTAAGTCAGACTATCATCAGGAAACTTCTTGTGTATGCTCAGATGTGTATACACATTCAGTATATCCAAATTTTCAACTGTAAATATTTTCTGGAATGATTTTCCATGGTCACATCTAATGCCTATGGAAATTATATCTTAGCTGCAGGCTTGAGTAAATTTCAAAGAAATCGGGGCGCCTGGGTGGCTTAGTCAGTTAAGAGTCCGACTTTCGCTTAGGTCATGATCTCGCGGTTCGTGGGTTCGAGCCCCGCGTCGGGCTCTGTGCTGACTGCCAGCTCAGAGCCTGGAGCCTGTTTCAGAGTCTGTGACTCCCTCTCTCTCTCTGACCCTCCCCTGCTCACGCTGTCTCTCTCTCTCTCACTCCTAGAAATAAATAAAACATTAAAAAAAATTTAAAAAAAATAAAGTCTTCAATGCATTTTTGCTATCTATCATAATATGATACAGAAAATGTATGAAACCAATATAAAATTCAATTACTAAGGATAAAAATTTTATTAACAGGTCTCAGTTTCATTCTCTAAATAAGAAATATNCTCTCTCTGACCCTCCCCTGCTCACGCTGTCTCTCTCTCTCTCTTCTAGAAATAAATAAAACATTAAAAAAAAATTTTTTTTTAAATTTCAAAGAAATCACAGAGCCCTGGAAGTGACTGCAGATGTCACTGAATATAGGAATTGAAAACTGGCAGCCAGCACACCAAACTGTCTGCATTTGGGTTTTGTTTGACCACTTTGTGTGTGTTTATGTATTTAATAGTCTTATTGAGGCTTAAATGACACACAATAAACTGTACATATCTATTCAGTTTGATTTGCTTAGGTAAAGGTATATACCTGTGGCACCATCATTACAATGAAGATAGTTAACATAGTCGTCACCAGCTAACCTTTCCTTAAATTCTTTTGTAATCCCTTCTTCCTGTTCCTAGTCCCTCCACGCAGTCCCTGATCTGCTTTTGGTTATTATAGACTAGATGGCGTTTTCTAGAATTAAAAACATTTTTTTAATGTTTATTTTTGAGAGAGAGTAAGCACAAGCAGGGGAGGGGCAGAGAGAGAGAGGGAGACACAGAATCCAAAGCAGGCTCCAGGCTCTGAGCTGTCAGCACAGTCACCCAGGTGCCCCGGCATTTTCTAGAATTTTTATTGAATGGTGTCATGCAGTGTATACTCTTTTTCTGTCTGGTTTCTTTCATTCAGCATAACTATTTTGAGGTTCATATGAGAGTCATAATAATTACAAAGGTTTTCTTCTATGTCTGTGAAAGTTTTGTGATTTAGGTTTTACATTAAGATTTACTAAATTCATTTGAAGTGAATCTCATAGATGGTCTGAAGTTTACATGGCAGTTTATTATTTTTTTAAATGAATATCGAATTGTTCCAGCACCATTTGTTGAAAACACTACTCTTACTATAGCACTTTCTCAAGCCTGGGGCATTCTAAGACTCACCTCATTTCCCATTTCTCAGAGGTTACTGTCCCTCCTTGACTGATGCACAGAATCTTGGAATCATTGTTTCATGTATTTCGTCTATTTTTGTTTATTTCAGATGGGAGGATATGTCTGATTCCTGCTACCCCATCTTTTTTTTTAAATTTTGACAGAGAGAGAGAGAGAGACAGACAGACTACCAAGCAGACTCTGTGCTGTCAGCCCAGAACCCTATGTGAGGCTCAAACTCACGAACTATGAGATCATGACGTGAGCTGTGATCAGGAGTCAGACACTTTGACTGAGCCCCCCGTATGCCCTGCTGCTACCTCATCTTGTCCAGAAGCATAAGTGTCCCACTTACTGTGTTTTTACGGTAATTTGTTTCCAACAGATAAAAATCAGGAGGTATCATATTCAAAGAGAGATTTCCACCTTCTCGTGAAGAATCTGCAGATTTGGCAAAAGGAGATGCATACTTCACACAGCAAGTCTTTTTGAGGCAGGGGATCCTTAGTTTCTTTCCTTTTTTTTTTTTTTTTTTTACAAATAGTTTATTGTCAAATTAGTTTCCACATAACACTCAGTGCTCATCCCCTCAAGTGCCCTCCTCCATGCCCATCCCTCCCTGACCCCCACATCCATCAGTCCTCAGTTTTTGTCAGCATTCAAGAGGCTCTCATGGTTTGCCTCTCTCCCTTTCCCCCACCATTTCCCCCCTTCTTCACCCCCTTGGTCCTCAGTTAAGTTCCTCCTAATCCTCCTATACGTGCAAACATATGATATTTGTCCTTCTCTGCCTGACTTATTTCGCTCAGCATAACACCCTCAAGGTCCATCCATGTAGCTACACGTGGCCAGATTTCATTGTTTCTCATTGCCATGGAGTATTCCATGGTATAGATAAACCATATCTTCTTGATCCATTCGTCCGTTGATGGACACTTAGGCTCTTTCCATGTTTTAGCTATTGTTGAGAGTGCTGCTATGAACATTGAGGTACATGTGCTCCTATGCCTCAGCATTTCTGTATCCCTTGGGTAAATTCCTAGCAGTGCTATTGCTGGGTCCTAGGGGAGTTCTAGTGTTAGTTTCCTGAGGAACCTCCACACTGTTTTCCAGAGGGGCTGTACCAGTTTACATTCCCACCAACAGTGTGGAGGGAGCCCGTTTCTCCACATCCTCGAGTTTCTTGTGGTCGCCACCTGGCTTGCTTCACATGTTTAAATGAAACTACTCAACTCCTTTAAGCCTGATTAGTCCACACTTTTCATTTTATTTGGGAGGAAAGAGAGAGAGAGGCATAGTGAGATGGAATTCAAATCTGCTTCTCTGACTTCAGATCCAGTAATATTTCCACAGAGATTGGACAAGTATACTGTATTATGGTATGGCAATGAGAGAACTGAAGGTCTCAACAATTGCTGACACATCTAGATGCTCAATGTCTATACCTCAGACTCTTCTTACATCTCTTGATATTAATCTGTGAAGTGTATTCTAATTTATCTATTGCCATATTTGGATCCAAACTGGGTAGTAGGATTTAACTGTTACTTAATTCCTTTAAAGGGATCCTTCATTCAGCAAAACCACCTTTTCAGGATTATATTCTTTTTTTTTTTTCATTAAATATGTTGTTTGCACACCAAAGAGGATACAGAGCAACAAGAACTTTCATTCTTTGCTGGTGGGAATGCAAAATGGAACAGCTACTTTAGAAGGCAGTCTGGCAGTTTCTTTAAAAGCTAAAATTCTGTTACTATTGATCTGATCTAGCAGTCATACTCTTCAGAATTTACTCAGAGGTGCTGAGAAATTATTTCCCCACAAAAGGCTGCACACAGATGTTTATAAAAACTTTATTCACAGTTGCCCAGACGTGGAAGCAGCCAAGATACCCTTCAGTCGGTGATGGATGAAGCAAGTGTGGTACATCCAGACAATGAAATATCATTCAATACCAAAAATAAATGAGCTGTCAAGCCTTGAAGAGACATGGAGGAAAGTTAAATGCATAATACTAAGTAAAAGAAGTCTGTCTGCAAAGACTACACAATGAATGATTCTAACTATATGACATTCTTATTCCAAAACTATAGAGAGTAAAAAGATGAGTGGTTGCCAGGGGTTAGTTAGAGGGGGCTTAGGGTGCAGGAATGAATAGGCAGAGTACAGAGGAGTTTTTGGGCAGTGAAGATATTCTATATGATACCACAATAGTGAATACATGTCACTAAACACTGGTCTAAACCCATAAGATGGTACAATATCAAGAGTAAACTATAATGTAAACTATGGATTTGGGATGATCATGATAGATCAGTGTAGGTTCATGTATTGCTCTGGTGGCGGGTGTTGATAATGGATGAGGCCGTGTGTGTTTCTAGGCAGGTGGGGGCAGCATATGGGAAATCTCTGTACCATTCCTTCAGTTTTGCTGTGAAACTTAAACTGCTCTAAAACTAGTCTTAATAAAAGCAGAAATAAGTTGCCTATTATATTTATATTGTTTCAAACTCTCTTATGAGTTCCCACCATCAAATAATACTGAAGTGAACACAGTGTGGAGACTGTGTTTTCAGTTTTTCTATCTATTCATAACTTTCTCTTATATGATCAAAGATGTTTATGTCAGTATAAATGGAGAAATTCAGTCTGCTAGCTTGGGAAACTATGTGATACAAAAACTAACCCTTTTCCTCTCTCAACTATCAGTGAAAATATTATTAAACTTGTGTAGTGGAGAGGAAGAAAGTTCAAGAAACAAACCACAAAACCACTAGGAATCATGTGAAGTCAATATTTTCTTAGTAGACATGTCACAAAAATGCATCTGATGCATTTTTGGAAAGAAGTCCAACATCTTAAGAGACTCTGTCTCCTTACTCTAAGATGTTAGAGATGATGGAAATACAGGCTGTGTGTAGGAGAGTTTACTGATTTTATAATCTTGCTTTACAAAAATAGGCTCTGTAGAAAAAGTAGAACTGAAAGTATAATAAGGAATTATTTGATTATTATTTTGACTGAGTTATCACAGAGAACTATTTCTGATTGAAATATTAAAAATTTTTTAATGTTTATTTTTGGGAGACAGAGGGAGACAGAGAGAAAGCAGGGGAGGGGCAGAGAGAGAGGGAGACACAGAATCCGAAGCAGTCTCCAGGCCCTGAGCTGTCAGCACAGAGTGCCACATAGGGCTTGAACTCATGAACCATGAGATTATGACCTGAGCCAAAGCTGGGCACTTAATGGACTGAGCCACCCAAGTGCTCCGATGACTATTTCTGATTTAAAACTACAGGGAGACTGTTGAAGTATCATATTTTCATGTCACGAATTGTATCAGATGACTGCCGGGAGCTGGCATACCTGCTTGCAAGAGCCTTTAGAATTGCCTCCATGACAAATATTACAATAGGCCATTCTAGAAGCAAAGTGGGGACATGGCTTTACTGAGATAGCAGATCACAGCAAGGCTTGGGCTTCTGGGGCATATGTGCCCTGACACCCAGTGCCCGGGGGGCTCTTATGACGGTGGAACAGAAGAGAAGCTCAGGCATGGGTGTCTGCATTCTAGAGCTGGTGCTTGGCTGGAGGAGAGTTGATGTAAGCTTCACCCTTCTTTAATTTTTTTTTTTTAAATGTTTATTCATTTTTGACAGGGAGAGAGTGAGTGAGTAGGGGCAGGGCAGAGAGAGAGAGAGGGAGACACAGAATCTGAAGCAGGCTCCAGGCTCTGAGCTGTCAGCACAGAGCCCAAGGTGGGGCTCGAACTCAAGAGCCATTACATCACGACCTGAGCCGAAGTCAGACACTTAAAAGAGTGAGTCACCCAGGTGCCCCTAAGTTCTGCTCTTCTAACAGGTTTTCAAAGGAGTGGTGGTTAAAACCATCAGGCTGTTTTATTCTCTTTCTCACGCATATCTTTTCTCTCTCTTCATTCTCATTTTCTTCTCTTTTTCTCTCTGCTTTTTCTGCTCCTCCTCTACACCCTCTTAGGAGGGGTTTCTCTCCAGATTCAAGCACTTCTGTTTCTCTCCTTGAGAACCCTCGCTTAGCCACGCCTTTTTGGGACCCTTCCTGTCCTTAGCAGGTCTCTTCAGACAGCCTACCCATTATGCTCTGAATTGTGCAGCGCTCATGTGCCTCCTTGGCTAACTGGGTTCCTCTACTCTCTCACCCTCTCCAGTTCCAATACCTGAGACCTTATTCTCACTTTCTTTTTCTTTTCACGTAACTGCCCCTATATTTTCTCAGTTTTCTCCCTCATGGCTCCTCTTACCTGCTCACCAGCATTTTGGGGCTCTTCAGTCAGCATCAGTTTCCTCCCGGATCGTAGCTCTTCTAACTGCATTGTCTTCATAGCAGATCCAAAAGTTTTGTTTGGGCCCCAAAGCTTGGAACTGTGCTGGTCAGCTTTTAATAGTTGGGTTTCTTTTGCTGTCTCCCTTCTCACCCCATCACTCTTGTATTTCCTTTATTAAAATGCATATTGTTATCAGTACCACTAGGAGAGATCATGTACTCAGAGTCGATTTTCTCCAGGGAGACCAATTGCTTTTGACGTGTAGCTTTCCAAATCCCTTTTCTTTTTGCTACTCTTGGTGACAGACATTCAGTTAGGTGACAGACATTCTTTGGTGTTTGTGACTCTTTTCCATTTGCCTCCCTGTGTTTTCTTCCCCCAAATCCATCTAAGCCTCACTTTGACTTTCTGGCATTGAGGAGGGTGGTGGATGGGCCTGAAGATGAACTGTTTGAAGGGGCTCCCCTCCCCACACCAGTTTCCTGGCTTCCGCTGTCAGCATTGTGCTGTGGGGAGAGGGTGTTAAGGGGAGAAATGGAGGTTCATGGTATGTGGCTTCAACAGAGGTGGTGATTTGTGGTCCGTTTTCTCACATGCCTGAAACGAGGCATGGACCAGGGCAATGACCAGCATGAGGCAAGTGAGGTGTCTGACTCAGGATTAAAATTTCAGAGGACTCCAGGGGCACCTGGGTGACTCTGTCAGTTAAGCATCCAACTTCAGCTCAGGTCATTATCTCATACTTCACAGGTTCGAGCCCCACGTCGGGCTTTGTGCTGAAAGCTCACTGAAAGCCTGCTTCAGATTCTGTCTCCCTCTCTCTCTCAGGCCCTCCCCTGCTCGTGCTGTCTCTCTCTCTCTCTCTCTCTCTCTCCCTCCCTCAAAAATAAAAACATTTTTAAAAATTAAAAAAATAAATAAAACAAAATTTCAGAGGACTTCAAAAATCTCTAGAAGCAACATAAATGATATTGACATATTTAAATAAATAAAAATCATTGCAAAAAAATCCATGACAAAATTTTTGTAGTTTATTTATTTATTTAATTTGAGAGAGAAAGAGAGAGTGAGGAGGAAGAGGTAGAGAGAGAAGGAGAGAGAATCCCAAGCAGGCTTTGCACTGTCAGCACAGAGCCTAATGTGGGGCTTGACTTCATGAACAGTGAGATCCTGACCTAAGACAAAACCAAGAATCCGATGCTTAATCACCTGAGCTACCCAGGAGCCCCTCCCTGTCTTAAATAAAAGATTCAGAAGGGGCTGGAACTCTAGAGGATGGTGGATGGTGTGTTCCAAGTATTGACTCCAGACCTCTTAGCAGTGTTTCCTGGGCTCCAAGGGCATTGATGTAGCAGCATCCCTCATTTTCTTTGGATCCTGTGAGATCAGAGAGGAGGCAGCTCCACAGTAACCAGAATGGAGAGATGGACAGAGAGTCATCTATGAACCTTCTTTGATGTAGAAAAACTCCTAGAGACCTTTGCCTAGCTATGCACAAGAGTCCCAATAATGGTAAAAATTGGGGTCGTGTGTTTGGATTGATTTTTGACTTTAAGTAAATAGAAACGGGGTAGTTCTTGCACTCACAGCTTTACTGTGACAACTTCCTAGTGAATACGCTGCTTCTGCCTGGAGCTTTATCACTCTGTCAAGCAAAGAATGGGAAGGTGAGATTTTTTTTCTTCCCAATTTGGTATTGCCTTCTCTTCCCTTTCACAGAGGTCCAGACCTCTTATTAACCAGCGACTCACTGACCTGGCTTCTGCACATTTAAAGATCTGGAAAATATATATGAAAACCAAAGGCGCCTTCTACTTGTTTCTTTATTTGCATCCTTGGGGTCTAAGCTCTTCTGTGTTGGAAACAGCACTGATGGGGCCTCTGCAGAGCAACTTGGTGGGATGGTTCCAGGCCCCGGCATCAGGGGACTGGAAGGCCTGTTCTCCCTGTGCCATGAACAGCTGCATGAACTTGGGAAGCAGGCACCTTTCACTCTCTGACCCTCAGTTTCCTCATCTGTGCAAAGTAGGGCTCAAACGAGATGAGCTCTCAGGTTTCCCTCTGGTCCAGCCTTCTGTGCAGTTCTAGGGGAGGATTTTCTTTGTCACCAAACTGCCTGTTTCCAGCCAGTCTATGTGCAGTGGCTTTGAAATAGCCACCCTGTCCTCAGGCTGCACAGTACCCATTTTCTCAGTCGGCTGGCCTTGGCTTGTCTTCTCTGTTGAAGTCTGATTCCTCCCTCTTGGTTTCAAGGTCCCACCTTATCAAAGGAAAAATCTCTGGTAAGGTCTTTGTTTTACTTGGATTTAAATCTTGCTTAACATTAAATCAGAAAAGGAACGATAAGACTTTGGGCCAACTAGTTTCTTTGTGAAATAAAGAGCTTTTCCTTACCTGTTCTTTTAAGACCTTTTTAGCTTTAGAATTCTAAGTCATTTCAAGTAGCATGATGATGTTCTTAGATTTGAATAGTTTGATTTCTTTTTTCTTTTTTCACCTAAATCACCAGCTTTTAAAATTCTCTGTATTTGGGGGCACCTGGGTGGCTCATTCAGTTGGGCATCTGACTCTTGATTTCAGCTCAGGTCATGATCTTGGGGTCATGGGATTAAGCCCCTAATTGGGCTCTGTGCTGAGTGTGAACCCTGCTTGAGATCCTCTATCTTCCTCTGCTCCTTTCCCCTTTTCCCCCTACCCTGTAAAAATACAATTAAAAAAAGTTCTCTGCATTTCTTCTCCAATCTGTTATCTAGAAATTTACAGAGAGGTGTTAGCCCTCATTGGGCCCATCAAACTTCTGTAATGTGGCGTTTAATACACATTGTTATTTTATAAAAAGGTTGGGAGGTGGTGCCTGGGGGGTGGCCCTTTTGGAGGAGCAAGTGACTCTGGATGTCAGGGTCATAAGTTTGATCCCCATGTTTGGTGTAAAGATTACTTATATAAATAAAAACTTAAAAAAAGATAGTTTACCTAATCTGTATTATTTTAAACATGTTAAAAATCTGAAAAAGTATTTTTTAATTTTTTTTTTAGTATAAAGTGATCTTTCCGCCACTGAAGAGGAGAAGGACCTCACAGACTTTGTACATTCCAGTGCTTAGGAACTATAAGGTGTGATTTCCAGAGCCTTGGTTTTAAAGATGATTGTGGGGGTCTCCTTATCTCCTGGTCTGGTTTCATTTCCAGGTTCTGTGAGCATTTCTGGCCCTGTGGCTTCTGTCCCACAGGCCTTCCTCAGAGGAGATCCTCAGTTTCTCCCTCGTAAGCCATAGCATTATCAGTTACCCAGAAACACACATTAGGAAACAGTCTTCAGGAGGGCCCACGTGAGTTCAAACAGTCTGAACACATCTTTTCCCTCTTGCCTTCAAGTCCCACTTCAGTTTGAGGAGGCTATAAATTGGGCAGGGGCACAGATACTCAGGGATAGAGTCAACATTCAGAGGCTCTCTACATACAAGCAGACCCTGTGATAACGTGTGGACTTGTGAATGATGTTGAATTTGGAGAGATCACAGATTTCACAAAGTGAAAATTGCAGCCTGTGATGGTAATACTATTGGCTCCAATACTGCAGAATGTATAGAGAAAAATGACTTTTTCATGCCATCCTCTGCAACTAGGCATCACCTTTTGAAGAGTAGCAGAGAAGAGACTTTAAAATCATTCTAGAAACGCAGAAGTGACTGTAGCATGCTTTGCTGATTGGAGAATGTCTGTAGAGAGCGGCTTGTAACTCTGTGGCCTCATAATATCCTTATTATGCAGCATGAAAACGCAGAACTCTTTATGACTAATCAAAATTGTTGCCTCTCTCAGAAGAGTGTTTAATAAACTCATTTTCAAACTCAATGTAATAATTGTGGAGCTGGTAAGCTAGCAGTATGAACACATTAAGTTAGCATTTTGAAAGCGTGTCATCATGTTCATTGTGAAGGAAGTTAGTCAATGTATCATTTCAGTAAAGTCATGCTAGTTTTGGCAGTTGTGGCTTTTTTAATGGATAAAAACAGCAAAAGGCAATAGCAAATTCCAGATGGAACTTTACTCAGAAAATCCGTTTTAAAAGAACAAAACCGGGGCGCCTGGGTGGCTTAGTCGGTTAAGCGTCCGACTTTCGCTTAGGTCATGATCTCGCGGTTTGTGGGTTCGAGCCCCGCGTCGGGCTCTGTGCTGACTGCCAGCTCAGAGCCTGGAGCCTGTTTCAGTCTGTCACTCCCTCTCTCTCTCTTACCCTCTCCTGCTCACGCTGTCTCTCTCTCTCCTAGAAATAAATAAAACATTAAAAAAAAAAATTTAAAAGAACAAAACCAATGGTAATGTTGGTATAAGAAACCTGGTAAGAAATACAGCCCTATTAGGAAAAATATAACTGACCCTTAGATATCATCTCAAGCCAGAACCAAACCGAAAACCAAGCTAAAGACCAAAAACCGAAAAAATCAAACCACCCTATTCCCAGTAACTTAAAACAGTCTCCATGTGACATGGAAATAATTTTTAGAACTGGCCATATTGATCAAGTCTCCTACATTTCCATAGGATTTTACATCCCACCATTTCTTAGACTTCTAATTTAAAAATCTTACTACCTGTAAAATAAAACATAGTGTTGTAGAGTCGCTTGAAGTCTTTCAGTTGAATCTTTCAGTGCTTGGATTCATCTCGATGAAGAGTAACAGAACAGGTTAGAGCACGCCTCTAGGCTTTCTTGATACTTTTTGTGGCTTTAGTAGCTACCTCGTCTGTAATGCTCTTAGGCTACACTTTCTTTTGAAATAAAAGAGAACATGCTATCATCTGTGTGGAGAACCCAAGGAGAAAGACTATAAGGAGAGAAAATTCTCTAAGGAATAGCAGCAGTTGACCTATTTTGGTCCATTCTAGGATATCGAATCTTGATTGTGAGTTTGGGGCTGCCCAGTCCAGGTATCCATGCATAACACCTGGAATAGTATGTTTAGCAAGGGACTTTTGAGGATTAGCAAAAGAGGACTTATGATATAAGGAAGCATCGAGCAAAGTGTGCTTCCAGGCCACACCCATCAGTATTATCTGGGGGGTGCTTGAGATCCTGGACTCCACCACAGTCTCACTGAATCTGAAACTCTGGGGGTGTGCTCTGAGAGCCTGCAATTTTAACAAGATCCCCAGATAACCCCCACTACATTTTGAAAGTCTTTGCTCTTATACTTAGTTTTATTATCTCTGGATTCAAATCCTGGTCTTCCCTTTTTTCCTGGGTGACCTGGAAAAGCTGCTTAAGCTCTCGGTGTCCCACTTTTTTTCTCTGTGAAATAGGAATAACTATGGTACCCACCAGCTCGGGTCATGCGGAGGATTTATGAGATAATGCTGTGGAGCACTTACCCCAGTGTCTGGTTCATAGGAAACACTTCTAAGTTCGTGAGGTTATTTGTATCACTATAAAAGTTTTATGAAGGATATCAGAATCTCCTCTCTGATTTGAGACCAGTATAAAATATATGTTGAAAGGAAGGGATACAAACTATATAGTGGATTCTGATACTAAATTATAGTGCCTCTTTACTAAGTGGCTTAAAGCAATGGTCACTTCCTAAGCCTTGCCTCTATTTTTCTTGTCCCAGATGGTGCTGATGCACTCTTGGGCTGCTCTGCATGGTTCTTGTCCCTCAGAGGCAAGGATATAACCCTCTTTATTTGTTTTAAGGCCATCATTCCTGAGTTTCCGCTTTTGAACCAGTTCCAAGGAGAGTCTTTAGCCGATGATTTACAAAGAGGGCTTTGATGCTCTCCAGCGTGCCCTGCAAATGCTGTCATTTTCCTTACTTGTTAACCCTGGTGGCCTTTGAGCACAAGGCCATGCAGCTGTTTCCCTCCGGTCCCTCCCCTGTCCCAGCCTGCATCCTTTTTCTGCTATGCTCAACTTTCTCTGGCCCTCAGCCTCTCTGCTGCAGTTACAGAGTCCCCACGTTCTGTGATTTGGTGGGATGAATCACTTTCCATGGCCATTTGAACAGCAGAGGGGCTCCTCATTGTAAGTAGGGTGATGTTTTCTGCACAGCATCACCAAATAGCAAGTGAACTCCCTTCTTCCCATGGCTAGTTTTCTTAACTGCCACATTATTTTAAATTTGGTGGGTTTTAGGGGCTCTTTTAAAAGCAAAGTATCACTGATTCTGAGATCTGGAAAGGTTCTTGAGCCATCATTCATTTGACTCCTTTCCAGAATATATTTTAGGAAAAATCCAAATGTTTCAGGCCCAAGAAGTATGATATGTGATAATTGTATTTTTTTTAAAGGTACCTCTGGCAGCTCTGTACATGTGATGTAAGCTGGAAACCATCAAGGTTAGTAGGAACTCCAATAGTCAGCATTTTCCTTCTGGCCACGGCACTAAGCCAGGCTTGGGGGGGGGGGTTACCAAAGGACCCCCACCTTCTAGGAGAGTGCATCCCAGTGAAGGAGCTGGGGCTGGAAGGTGAAGCAGCTGTTGCACCAGGTTAGATGAAGATGTGAGCAAGCACTGAAGCACCTGGGATGCAGAGAAGGAAGAGGCATGGGTGGGCCAACATGCTTTCTCAGCCATTTCCCCTCCCTGGCCTTTCTTTACCCCTAGGTGATCCACTGCTGTTAATGTACGGGGCTTGTCCAAGTCTCTGTGGGCAAAGTCCCCCTAAGGGAGGAGGCTGGCAATCTTAGGAGGATGGCCCTCCTTGGCTGCTGCATCTTGTTGGCAAAGAAAGGGAAAGGGGTTGGCACTGAGTTGCCTGTGTGAGTATGCTGCCCCATCATGTCTAAACCTTGAGCAACCCTGTGGGCAGAGTTTTCTCTTTTGAGAGAGAGAAAGAGAGGGTGGGGCAGAGAGAGAGACAGAGAAAGAGAGAGAGAGAGAGAGAGAGAGAGAATCCCAAGCAGACTCCACACTGGCAGCGCAGAACCCCACGTGTGGCTCAAACTCACAGACTGTGAGATCATGACCTGAGCTGAAACCAAGGGTAGAATGCATAACTGACTGAGTCCCCCAGGCGCCCCAGAAGATGTCATTCTTATCTAATAGGCAGAGTCTCAGAGGCTGAGAGGTTTGGTAACTTTCCCAAGTTACCATCAGCTAGCAAGTGGGCTTGAGGTAAAATTTGGGTCTTTCTGTTGCCGTATCTAAGCATGTTCTAATGATTAATGTTGAAGAACCAGGGTTTTAACGGTCAGCAATTCTCAAGGAAAACTGCCCGACGTTCAGCAGTGGCTTTGTATGTCAGGGGATTGTTATGGGATGAACTGGGAGGGGACCCAGGAAAACTGCCATAGTCCCCAAACCTTCACCATTTGTGATACATCCTGTAGGGCAAATGGCTTCCCTCCTTTCTCCCTCCCTCCTTTCTCCCTCCCTCCCTCCCTCCTTCCTTCTATTCCTCCTCCCAAGCTAGTTTTGTCAGTTTGGACTGCTGTGACCACGTCCCACAGGCAGGGTGGCAGAAACAACAAAGATTAATTTCCCACAGTTATGGAGGCCGGCAGGTCCAAGATTCAGTGTCTGGTGAGGACCCTCTTCCGGGTTTGCAGGTGGCTATTTCCTCACAAGGCAGAGGGAGAGGAAGAGACTGACAAAGATATCATTCTCTCCTAGCTCTTCTCATAAGGGCACTAATCCCATTCAGGAGGCTCCACCCTTGTGACCTAATCCCCTCCCAGAGGCCCTGCCTCCTAACACCATCGCACTGGGGGTTTAGGCATCAACATCAGAATTTGGGGGGCACACAGGCTATTGCACATGCTGTAGCTACTGTGAGAGTTTATCAGAAACTCTCCTTGCACAACTTGCAAAATCAGCACTTGGAGACTCATAGTTTGGTTTATGATAAAAAGGCCAAATTGAGACTCTGGGTCCTGATTAGGCGGAAAGAGCAGATCACCCCTGCAGCCTGGGAATCACTCACTGATGGGAGCATTGTCATGGGGCAGTGGAGGACATCATGAGTGTGACACATGACCTTGGACAGAGAAGCCAGGAGACAGTACGCTCTGTGAGGATGAGAGGGAGCACCTTGGTCTGGCCACTCCTGCTGGAGGATGGCGCTTCTAAGTTTCATGTAAGGCGCTGATGTGTAGGGCATCAGAGTGTACACAGACGGATTCATACCCTACAGAGGCTAATGGAACGTTGGCTCCAAGCCAGGTACCTGCACTTTTTTTTGGACTTTGAGCTTCCCCTGGTTGTGCTAGTCATTGAGACCCCTTCTCTCCATAACTGAGGATTCTGGGAACCAGAATGAGCAATCCCAAGGTTCCTTAGGGATATGGAATTGGAATGGAGGGCTGCAAGGTCTGAAAGAGATCCAGTGACACCAAAGGGCTCAGACATTTCTGTTCCTTGGGACATCTGTGCCACTTGGAACAGGATGCAGGCATGGTAGAGTAGTAAGAGTTTTGGAGTCAAATCTGGAACCAATCCAAGCCTCTCTGTTTATTAGCAGTATGCATTTAGGCAGTACCCAGTCCCTAAAACTAGTATTTGTTGCATGTCTTCTGCATGTCAGACACTGTCCAGGTATCGACACCTTGTAGGTATTAACTTACAAGTACTTTTAAGTATATAAAAATATGTTAGGAGGTGGATGTTTCACAAATGAGGAAATTTAGGTACAGAGGGCTTAAGAACTTGCTCGAGGTTGCACAGCAAAGATTGGAACCAGGAAATGTGCCTTCGGCACCTATGCTCTTAACCAGTAAGCTGTCCTACTTCTGTTTCCTTATCTGTAAAACAAGGGCAAAAATAGCTACCTCAGTAATGTGAAGATGAAATTAAATGAGATGCTCATAGATGAAGCATTCATCTTTGCTTGGGTGGGTCAGAACAGGTGCTCAGCTCAACAGCTTTAAGTACTATCTTCCCTCTGTAAGATCTGCAGGCGCCCTCCCTTTTCTGGGCAGAGTTGGGGGCTCCTGAGTGTGTGCCCCGCTCTCCTTTTCCCGAGCTCCCTGCTAAGCTTCCTTTCACACTCACAACCTCAGCACCACCGCCTCATTGCTCTACGTGCCCACACTTTCCAGTTCCTGAGTGTGAAGCTTACTTTACCCAACCTCGTTTCCAGCCAGCCACTTCCTGGGCGTGTCTAGAAGTCACCTTGATCTCCTGGGTAATGCTTCTCTACATCCTACTGTGGGGTGGGTTACTTCTCGAAGGGGCATCGCTGTTTGCAGGGCTCCTTGCTAATTTCTCCTTTAGTGACATTCCCTTCCCACATCTTTTCCTAGTGCCCCATTCCCACTTCTGTTGTCCTACCTGCAGTCTACATTTGGACCTGCCCTCATTATGACCCAGGAGCTCCTTCAGTGAATGAGAATCCTGTAGAGAAGGGTCCCTCCTAAGTTCTGTAGCCAGGAGGTCTCCATTGCTATCTCAGGGAGGACTTATCCTGGGTCATTTCCATTGGTAACTAACTGTATTGCCTGTATGCTTTTTGACCTCCAAATGGATTCAGTCAAGAGGACGCACCAGCAGCAGATGGGGAAGGAGCAGTATCTGCCACCCCTCCATGAAAGGCTCTAATCTCAAGGGACTCCAGTGACACTCTCTCCTTCCCGGCCCTCTTAGGCAGTGAGGTGCTAATGCCTGGTAGTCTCTGGGTGACCCTCAACCCTGTCCACATATTTATGCACAGACCCTTATCAATGTCTCTACATTTCAGTGATGTGAATTCTATGCCCTGCTGAACCCTACAGACTTGTATGGCTAGAATTGAAAGGCCACCTCATCCTCACCTTTACAAGCATAATTCTTCTCCTGCTTGGGTGACAAGATGAAATTTGGAAGGATGATTGTGTCTGCAAGTCCTTGGCGGTATCCTCACTGTTAGACACAGGGCTGGTTCTTTCTCAGGGTCCCGTGAAGAGCACGGCTCATGGAGAAGTTTCTGTTAGTCACGAGCTCTACCTTGGAGGCCAACCTGTTTACTTTTTTAATCTCTCAATTTTTTTAAAATTAGTGTTTCAATTTTTAAAAGATGTTCTAGCCATGTGACTTGTGGGGAAATCATAACTCTCTGCTGTTTCTTATTGAAAATTATGAAGCTACTGACTTTATGACATTTACAGCTGCCTTAGCTCTGAAAAGGTAAATGTCAGCCAAGGGGAAACCGTCTGGAACACTGAGAATTGGCGGAGGATCTTCCTTTCTGGGCAACAGGTGAAGGCTGCCCCGGGCACTTCCCCTGATTTCGTCCCCTGATGTTTCCGGGGCACCCCTTTATCTGTATCTGATCTGATTTCTCTGCTGCACATGTTTCCCCCAGGTTGATGAGTCCAGGCTGGATGCTAGGCTTTGTCCTGGATACCCCACTGGAGCAGGGAGGACCCTTCCCTTTCCTAAGATTAGGGTCTGACTTCAGGGCCAAATTCACAGAGTCCTGAGACAAGGCTAAAGGAAGATGTTATGCAGTAAAAGCAACACTGCTGGTTTTCCTTGTTCCAGTGTGGGTTTGGAAAAAGAAGGAAGAGGATTATAGAATGATTCCACTCTGTCAGGCAGTGTGCTGAACAACTTATATATGTAATTTCATCTCATCTTTGCAGTAGCCATATTATCCCCAATGTACAGATGGTAAAACTGAGGCTCAGAGGAAAATGGTATATTGCAGAGGGACACATAGCTGAAAGATAATGTGGCTGTGCCAAAGGATTCGGTCTAACTTTTTCAGTTTGTATGAATCTTTTTTTGAGAGAGAGAGAGAGAGAGCTTGAGCAGGGCAAGGGCAGAGAGAGGGAGAGGGGATATTAAGCAGGTTCCATGTTTAGCACAGAGCCCAACATGGGGCTCGATCTCACAACCCTGGGATCGTGATATAAGCCAAAATAAAGAGTCTGATGCTTAAGCCACGGAGCGACTCAGGTGCCCCTAGTTTGATTCTTAAAATCATTTCCAAACTTCCCAGGCTTAAGACAGAGACAATATTTCACTTACCCTTTTCTTTGGACCGGCTTTTGTCAAGGTTTGCTTACTCTTTTCAGTTTTAAATTTTATTTTACTTCTGGTCATGTGCAGGTTTTATTTCTCTGCTTATTGGCTGTCTTCTGTGCTTATTCAGAAATTGCTGTACTAGAGCATAGCCAGGGAGTTAGAGAAACAAGATAGTGGACGTTTCTCAATGATGCAAGGCTGTGACCGTATGGAATTGCCTCTTTGTGGAGGGAACTCAGAGGAAAATTGTCTTTTGCTGTATGGGTCATGTCCAAAGCCACTCTGCCAGTAATCCAATACCTTCTCCACCTCCAGTGGGCAGACCATGGTAGCTTTTTACTCAAGATAACATCATTCACCTTGACAAAGTCAAATCTCTTATTTCCATTTTCT